GCGATCGCGTATCTTCCTTTGTTCCACGCCAGACAATACAAACTTATCGGCTTATCGAGCACGGCTTTTTTTTTCTAAACTGTCTAACACGTATCATCGCGAGGCAATTTTTTTCTGCCCCCTTTTGCTGTTAACCGATTAACGAATCACCGATATTCGCCGGTTTTGCAACTGTGCGTGTCATTGGCGAGGTCACGCGCCACGTTTCATCAAGTTCCATCGAAAATCGTTGTGAAAGAAAACGAGAAGAAATTCGATTAATCGCTCGGCGATTTGAACTCCGCGACAAAATGTTACAAGACACTGTGTGTAAAATTATACAAACCTGTGCTATAAAATGAACTTTTTTTCCTATCTGCACGTACATGGAGTTGTTTCTTACTCCTTCAAGGTGCAATCTTTTTGTCGAGTGCGGGTTTAAAGTCTCGTCGACAGCACGACTGCGTGAACAAACTAAAGAAAGTGAAGTGAAATAAATAAAATATTCCAAGGCAAAATTCCAAATGTTGTCAATGCTCTTTGAATAAAATGTTACTTTCAAAGTGTTACGTAATTTTAAACGAATAACTTAAATAATATTATAATTTCAAATAAATAAATAACTTTAAATAATATAAAATAAATATATTAATTATATTATAATTTTAAAATCTTACTATTTATATCGTAAAATATTTTATTTTCAATTCATTTTCAGGATAAAATATTGTTTTAAAAATGTAATATAATTTCAAATGAATAACTTAAATAACATTATAATTTCAAATAAATAAATAACTTTAAATAATATGAAATAAATATAATTTTAAAATCTTACTATATCGAGTAAAATATTTTATTTTCACTTTATTTTTATAGTAATAAATATCTCTTCAAATAAAATATTGTTTTAAAAATATAATATAATTTTAAATGAATAATTTAAATAATGTTATAATTTTAAATAAATAAGTAACTTTAAATAATATAAAATTTTAAAATCTTACTATATCGAGTAAAATATTTTATTTTCACTTCATTTTCGGTAATAAATATTTACAAGTCACTACCACTACTATAACTATTTACTATTCACTCATTTCAAATAGTATTTTATCCAGCTCCGAATATAACACATAATTGCTGATACAGTGCTTTCAAATAAATAGCAATTTATTGAATATTCAAATATTTCCCTGCACGAATGATAAGAGGAATATTCATTTCAAATAACTATTTCAAGTTCAAAGATAAATATGTTTCCCTTGTAAAATCAAAATAAATGTCAAATAATATTTCAATCAATAGAAAAAGAGATAATTATTTCAAATAAGCAAATAGAACCCTATATAGAAAATAATCTCTATAAATGTATATTCGTATTTCATTTGAAATACTATTTCACCCAACATGCCAGTGACACGTCACATTTTTATATCTCGACAAAGGTTTCTGCTTTTGTTAATCATCTGAATATTAGATATAGTAAAAAAATATGGGTCTCTATTTGAAAATTTTAATGTCAAGGTCAACAAGGTGACGTCGCAACATGTAGTCTTTAATACCCTATAACTTTTATTCGACAGGTCTTTTCGTATCAGTCACATTTTTCGAAATATTTAGGCCAGAATTGGCCATTAGTCGAATAAATTCTTCGAATAAAATTTTATATAGTTAAAAAATATTATATAGTTAAATATAATAGTATACAATTATTATATAAAATATTATATATTTAAATATAATAGTATACAATTATTATACAAAATATTATATAGTTAAATATAATAGTATATAATTATTAACTATATATAATTTATATTAATAATAATGTAATATTATAAAAAATATTCGAAAAGTATCGAGTAAAGGAATTTCTACTGTGTTCTAAAGAAACATTCTATTTTTTAATTATTGTCGTTCAAGTTGTAATGATTTAGGTGTATCATCTGTAAATAAAAGCTTGTACATTTCATTATACCACATATACTATATAATTGTTTACTAGTATTACTATAGTATACCATAAGTATTACCATATAATTGTAACACATTACATTAAATTACTATATATACTATAATTTATTACCATACATAATTGCAATACATTACATTATTGTATTATTTCATTTATCATTATTTATTTTCATTTATTTTTACTGTCATTTCAACCAAATTATTTATTTAAATTATTTGGCCATCATTTTACAAGTATTTCGTTCTACTATAATATTCTTACATTTTTTTATCTCTTTGATAGATATTGTGACATTTTTTATGTCTCGCAATGTTATGCCTCGATAGTGGTAACGTTCATCACTCATTCCTGAAATCCAATATCGCAAACTATCACGTGATTGACGAGCTGTTCAGGTAGCTTCGTTAATTACCAACATCGCCTGGCCATCGAGCAATTCCGAATGATGAACCAACCAAGTTGAAAAAGGGCCCAGTATCGAGAACACGGTCGTTATCGATACTCAAACACTAGCATCAATCACGATAAAAGACTTCATGACCCCGAGGCTCTCGAAGTTGCATCAGAACAACTCGGGACGTGTCTCTGCGAGTCATGGACTTCAGACTTCAAAATGGTCACGTTCACTCGATTAAACCGAGTAAGGATAGAAACGCCACGTCACGTTACACCACGCTAATCGACGATACATACTAACTTCCGCCGTGAGCTTGTCCTTCCTTCAAAAGGGAGACGTTATCACAGCTGGTTAAAATACATATGTCAAACAGTAAATAATGAACAATCCTGCTTATTTTTAAGTATAACTTTGAAAATAAAATACATTGGTGTATCAAGTATTTTCAAATATTTTATTTATTTATGCATGTGTAGATATGTTATGTGTGTAGTAGTTTATGTTTTTGAGATATTATACTCTTTGTATGCCACTTTGAGAAGTTTTCAGGTTTATATTTGCCTTGATTCCGTATTTCTGTCTTTGGATTTCTGTGGTGTGACATTCGTGCAGTATGTGGGTTATTGTTAATGGATGCACTTATTGCAATGAGTGCATGTGGGTGGTGTGGTTTTTTTGATTTTGTTCATGTGTCAGCTTGGTATGACAGGTTCTTAGGCATGTAATAATTATTCCTTCTTTCCTGTTGCTCATCAAGGTTTGCTGGTGAAAGTCTTGGATACTTTTGTGTAGTTGGGTGCTTTTAGTTGTTTTCCATGTATCGTTCCATTCATTTTTTAGCTACTTTTTTGCTGTGGATTATTTGGTCGTCGCAGGGGATTGGAAGATGATTGCGATTGTTAATAAGCGAGGGAACTGTGGCTTCTTTTGCTACTTTGCGTCGGCCTTTTCATTTCCTTCTATTCCTTGACGAGCTGGAATCCAGATGACTGTGGCGTTTGTGTTAGGTTGGTTGTGGTTTAGTTCTTGGATGGTGGATATTAGTTGGTTTTCTCGATCATATGATTTCGTTAGGGATTTTGTAACGCTCATGGAGTCGGTGTAAATGACGATCTGGGCTTCGTTATTTGAGTGTGCATATTTGATGGCTTCCAGGATGGCATAAGTTTCGGCTGTGAAGATGGATGATGAAGTAGGAAGATTTTGTGTTTTTTTAGCTTTTTCAGTGGTAATGGCGTATCCAACTTCAGTGTCCGTTTTTGACCCATCTGTGTAAATCTTGCTGTATTGGGAGTAATTGTTATTAAGTTCTAAAAATCGAGTTCTGTGGTCATTTGGGCTGAGGATTTTTTTGGGGAGTTCGGCAAGGCTGGTGTTAGTTGGGAATGCTTTTATCGTCCATGGAGGGATTTGTGGTGGTTTGCGTTCAATGGTGGGGTGGATTTTGAAAGTGGTGGATTTTGAAGCATTTTGGTAAGTCTGATATGGAAAGGGGAGGGAATTTTAGGTTTATTGATGTAGAAAGCTTTGTATCTATTGGAGAAGATGTTGTTGTAGGAAGGATTATTTGAAGTGGATGAGACTTTTAGTGCGTATTTAAAAGTTAGGAACTTTCTTTGGTTTCGAATAGTAGGCTGTTAATGGAGCATGTTCGGTATGCACCTGTGGCTAGTCTAAGAACTGTGTGGGAGATTGGATCTATTATTTTTTAGCTTTTGGCTGAGTTATAAACGGTAGAGCCGTAATTAAGTTTGGATCTGATTAACGCTCTGTATGTTTCTAGAAGAGTGTCTTTATCCACTCCCCAGTTATTATTGAAAAGGGTTTTTATGATGTTGAATCTTTTTATACAAGACTCTTTTAAGGTTTTTAGGCATAGCGCCCAAGATAATTTCTTGTCGAAGATGAGGCCTAATATTTTGATGGTGTCTGTAAACTTAATTTCAAGATTACTTAGATATAGTTTAGGTCGGGGGTTAAGTTTGGTGAATAGGATGCCTTTTTGGGTTTTTTTTGGGAGAAAATTTTAAGCCCGTTGTTTTTGACCAGTCCTGAAGGGTATCGATAGCTGTTTGTAAATGTTCGTTGATGGAGCTTATATTTTTTCCGCTACATGTGATGGTTATGTCATCCGCAAATATCTGAGTTTTTATTGGTGGCTTGAGGTTGATGGTGATGATTCCTATTAAAAATAGTGTGGTGCTCGCTCATTACTGATCCTTGTGGGACTTCGTTTTTGATTGTAACTGGTTGTGACAGAGATCCATTTGCTCTGACTTGGATTGATCTATTGGATAAGAAGTTGCTTATGAAAGATAGCATATTGCCATTTACTTTTACTCGATGAGGGAATTAATGATTTTGATTCTCAAGATTGTGTCGAAGGCATACGGCGACTATGTATTCTTTGTTGAGGAAGGCGTTACAGATATTTGTTTCCAAGATCGTTAGAACGTCTATGGTTGAACGGTAATGTCGGAAACCGTATTAGTTTGGGAATAATATTTTATTTGAAGATGTTTGTTGAAAACATTTGTATGTTGTTTTTGAAATATTTTACTTATTTAGTATAAGTAAGAAATATTTTATTTATTTAGTTTAAGTAATAAATATTTTATTTATTTATACATAGCATTATAATATTTTATTTACACACTATTTCAAAATAATATTTTATTTGAAGAGTGTTGAAAACATTTGGATTTTGTCTTGAAATATTTTATTCACTTTCATTCATTTTCTTTATTTCAACCATTATTGCTAATAATAATAATTCACGTTCGATATATTTCTTCAGTATAAATAATTTCTTCATCTTTCTGTGTATTACAAATCGAATAGCTGTTCTGTGTCCAAAAATTCCACTTGATCTTATTTCAAAGCGTTAAAGACTCTGATATGAATAGTTCTCGTAAATTCGTTTTTAAAGTGATTTTAGATATCATGCAATAGATAATAAATTCAAACGCGTGTTTGAATTTATTATCTAGTGCAAAAATTTTTCTTATGACTGAAACCATCGCGAAGCCTTGAAACTCATTATATGTACGATTTTTTTTCACCATTTTACTGAACTTTTAACTAGGATTTCCTGAATTGTTTTCATGTAATACTAATATTTAACCTATGATGAAAAAAAAATCGTCGTGGAAACTAATAATACAAATTATTTAATGCTTTCATACGGGTTTGAATTTTTTTCAAGGAAAAAGCAGTCTTATAAAATGATGGAAAAAAGAAAACGAACTTACAAATTCAAAGCAGAGATTTAAAAATGAGGCCATGTTATATCATCTTTTTCAAATTATCGACAATTTTCCATTGGTGCAATTCACTGCGTTTAAAAATGTTACAAGACCATATTCTCCGAGTAACATTTACAGCCAACGTTCCATCTGAAACGATGCAATTTCTTTTACAAGCAATTATTTCAAATATTTTATATTATATTTCAAGTATTTTAAATTTTTGTTACGACTATTTCAAGTGTTTTAAATTATATTATATTTCAAGTATTTTAAATTTTTGTTACGAACTTGCACCTGTAAAATTGCAAAATCGTATAAAAAGAATTTTCACTTACAAAATTATAGCACAAGAATAAATAAAAATAAAAATAATCCAAGATTTATTAAAAAAATAAATTGTAAAAATCTAGTATGGGTAAACGAATCAAGAATTCGAGTTTACAGATTATTAAGTATTAAGTGTTTCTAAACTCTGCTCAATTTATTTTGCAGAGGTTTCACAATTTTTGCCATCTCTCTATTAGATCTAAATGACTAAATACTAATTTATTAATACTTGACAATAATTTTTCCTTTCTTACAAATTACTTTCTTTTATTTTCACGAATTTTTCATTTCCACAGAAATAATTTCCCTTCATTTATATTAAATTCTGTTTAAACTACAAACCACAAATTTTTAAAATTTTTAATATTTGATTTTTGAGTATTTGATCATAACTCGAAATATAATAAAAAAAAGAAAGAAGAAGAAAAACTTGGATCAATAGTGCATGGCTCTTTTATATAAATTATCCAAATAATGGAGTCTTTATTATGATTTATTATGTAGTTTCTATTTAGATTTCACTTTTTCAATTATGTTCATAAAAATGTGACAATGCATAAAAATCTATAGACTATTAATAAACTTGAACGTTTAGAGTGATTTATGTACATTTAAAATTTATCGATTGCTCATTTATTCTTGAGTTTGTTTTTATTAAATATATATTTTTGTAATAAACATCTTGTATAACTTTTATATATAGGGTGTTTCCAATTCTACACGAAAGAACAAGTCTAAAAAGGAAGAATAAAATTTTTTCATTTCAAAGCTTCATTATCGAGTTTGAAAATCTATCGAGTACACTTCGTTTTAGCGAAGTTTAGGCTTGAAAGAAAACTTTTTGCATAAAATTTTCCGCCTTCGAGGAAATCAAGTTTGAAAAGTTATTGTCGAAGCAATTTTTAACGAGACACATTCAAAGTTCATTCTCTTGAAAATGAAACTTTAAATGAAAAAAAAAAAGTTATTCCGCGTTCATTTAATTCATTTTCGCACGTAGAATGATTTCGTGTCAATTATTCTCGCCTATCTTTCACGTCTAGAATTAGCCAAATTCAAGTATACTTGATGAAATTTTCAAATTCCATTTTCTCCAAAATGTAAACTTAAGTAAAAAAATTTTATTTCTTTGACTTATTTTTTCATATAGAGTCACTTTCTTTCTTAAATGAAATTTTTTCCACGGTTCAATCACTTATATATATTATTTTTACTGTATATAAATTTACTTATATATTATTTTATATATCATTACTATTATTTTTTATTTCTACCACAAATATTCTAACTATATACTACATACTCTATAACATACTATCAACCAACTATTCTGCAACTATTTCAACTATATACCACAAATATTCTTATTATTATAAATACAATTTCACATTACATATTTCAATCAATTAATCATTGTCAAAATAAATCAGTGACCTCGAGTAACTTTTAGGTTTTAAATCATCGCCTGATTAATTTACCTTTATATTTAAATCAATTACCAAATGCAATCACAATGATTGTAATCATTAATCAATTAATCATTTCCGAAACAAATCGATAATCTCGTTTAACCTTTGTAATTTGTAATTTTTAAATCATCGCACGATTAATTTTTCTTACGATCTGTAACGTTGCCATAACACGTGTTCAAATGTGTTAATTACCTAGAGTTGTGCTATTCGATACCTGCCGTATTATTTTCTGCATAATAGTATCTGTCCTCGTTGAATTTATAATAACTTATATTATTTATAACCATTTACCGTAATACTGCAACAAATGTTGATTTTTCTGCAGGTAATCGCAAATAATAAACGTGTAGTTTCTACGAAATACATACATACGTAAAACTAAACTACGTCACTAAAATGCAATCGTAATCAAAGGTGTAGTCATTTTGTGATTAATCGTAACAATTCGATTACAATAATTTTGATTACTTCTATTATTTGCTAATCAGCAATCATAATTAATATCTTGATTGAATGATCGATATTCTGCCCAACTCCGCCATAACCTATATTTATACTTAACCTATATTTATGCTTATAACCTACATATCTGGTTTTACCAATGGTTCTCCACATCCGATTCGCGTTAACACGGCCACCGTTTCCCAATCGCCGTCACAATCTCAATTTATATTCTGACGTATAACGACTCCGATCATCGTTCAGTGAAATGTGTCCCACAAGTTACACAAACACATTATACCACGTGATGCAATCCGCATAGAAAAAGCATATTCGAATCGACACGTGAAGACCTTTCCTTCGGGAATAATGTAAGTAGATACATGCTTCGAAAGAGAAGCGTGTTTCATAAACCATGTATTGTAACATAATCTCTCTATCGTGTAAATCTAAACACGATGTAAATGTAGATTTAACAAGATTTGAAGTATTGTATCTGTACATACATAATATATCTCTCTCTTGGCTTCTTTATATGTAACACAGGTATTGTATCAACGTTAGTTAATTATGTAATTGGTTCTTTTGATGACTTAATTTTTTTCGTTGGAAATTAAATGTCATTAATATTGGACAATTTAAACTAAATGTTTAAACTGTTGTAATTTTGGATGGAACAATAAAATCTGGACTCATTTTAAAGTTTCAATTATCTTAAAATGTATACCGCCTAACTCAAACATGCAATACACAGTAAATACTGAAAATAACTGAATAATTTTTTCAACATTGCAAATGAAATATTCCCAATTTCGAATAACTAATTTTAGTTGTGTTATTATTTAATACGTGTGCTAATGGCAATGTCATATGGAGATATTTTATTTTATTAAAGCTATCAATACATGGCAACATTTAAATCTAACACAAAACTAATTCAAGATGGCATCAATACAAATGTAATTAATGCAAACGTTAGAGATACAATATATAAGGTGACAAAAATATCTTTACGAATATTTCAAAAACTGTTTGCAACTGTTGTGTAGAGAAAAACATTATTCAGAATGTCAACCTATTTTAAATATTATTAATTACTATTTTATACTACCTACACAATAATATTTTATATATATATATACAGAATTGTACCAATAATGATGAAAATATTATCGATAATTTAAAGTATTGTAATTTCATCATTAAAAAAAGTCATTCGTAAAATATAACAATCTACTTGCAATTAGTTTGATTTTACGAAACCTCTGCTTTGACAATTGTGAGTTCGAAGACGATTTTTACATTATATCATAGAATGAGACAATTACTTTTTTCTCTAAAATTGTCAAAATTCAAATACGTGTAAAATTTAAAAAATTTTGTTCGTAATTAAATCCATCATCATTTCGAAGATTGAAGTCTTTCTTTTCAAAACTTTCCGTACAATTTTTTCTTACTGTTTTATTGAACTTTGACTTTAACATTCAAAGTTCAATAAAATTAAAAAAAAAAAAAAAAAAAACTATACCAACGAATTTTGAGAAATCATTGTTCAAAAGATCAGTCGTTTCTTTTTTACAAAATTATATCAATTTAAATTATCGACAATTTTTCACTGTCATCGGTCACTGTATATTAAAATTATTTATATTTTTTATTACAAGTATTGATAATATTAAGTATAACATTAAGTATTGATACAAGTATTGACAATATTTTCTATTATTTTTTATTATTTAATGTCACTTTGATATTATTTATCCACACAATCTATACATGAAGTAAGATGGTGTCATTTTATCTCATACAAGTTACAGAATGCATTTATTACCTTATTTCATGTGTGATCTCATTCCTTTTATAATTTATGCATTTTACAGTTATTTTTTAATACGATTGTAAAATGCGAAAGAGACGAGTTTGGTCACAAGATGAAAAAATATACACAAATCTTTTCTACATAGTGTTTTAAATATTTAAATTGATGGCATGAATCTTGTACTAAATATCTATAAGAGTTGGTTCATTCACATGATAGAATTGTATTTACTCACAAATTAGTTTTTAATTTTAAACCAGTGTATAGTAATAAAATTGTTCTTTTTTTTTTGGAATAAATATTTTTGTTTCTAATAAGATTTTGCTAAAATATTCCTTTTTGTTTATATAAGAAATAAAAAAGTTATTTTATATATAATAATAAAAAAGTTACTTTTACTTGTGATTAGTATGGCCAGCGTGTCTCGATCACCACCCCCACCTGTAAACACAATTAACGAGTCATTTAACCTAGCACGTGCAATTTGCATGCGAACGCAAGTCGAAGTAATCATATGCGACGAAAAGATATAAAAGCATAATAATCAAAATTTATCTATTGGCAATATTAATGCTATTCGATCATTTCTTTTGGTTTCTTGCATAGTGCGAAGCGGTTAAATTATGTAGGCATAATTTCTTGGGGAATCTTCTAGACCAGTGGTTCCCAACCTTTTTTTCTCTCCCGTATCCATTGATTAGACTTTTCATCTATGAACATCATAATCAAACCCCCATCCCTCAAAAAAGTTTGTTTTCTGTTTTTAATTTTCTGTTAGCTAAATAATCAAACGACTTAAATTATCGGAACACTATAATTTTGTCTTTATTTTAACTCCTTCCTTTTTTTTTTTTTTAATGTTTTCCGCTATTGCTAATTGTTATTTTCGCGTATCCCCAGGGGTACGTATTCTCACAGGTTGGGAACCGCTGTTCTAGATTTAGATTTCTTGTCAGCGCCAAAAAATTTATCGTCTTATTCTCCATGCTCGCAAGATGTCGTAAAATTGTGGTTCTTGTGTCGTGATTGCTTGTTGTTGTTATCAATCTCTGTCACTGACCTGCGGATCTGTTTTACTTTTACAATTAGCGTTCTTCAGGAATGCTTGAACGTCGATGATGCGATCGATCTTCGATTTTTTGGTAATCAAACGGCCCCCATGATTTTTTGAAATGATGAAACGACGATGGATTAGTGTTGTAAAGAGAGTACGCACGTTATTATACTTTCTGTTACTCGTGATTTTCGATCTCACTTCGCTGAAACTACCACTAGGTGGCACAACAGGCGAGTTGCATGAAAAAAAAACGTGGGATCTGGATAATGTGAAAATCGGTCGACCGTTTGCAAAACCGTTGTTTCACGATTGGCAACGTGAAATGGCAAAATTTCCCGTGTATCGAGTCCTCTCACTGAACTAAACGGCAAGTCAGTGAACCACATTTAGTTAGAAAATTGCATCAGTACGTGCAATCGCGATGCACTGGCGCTGCCTTCGGGAAAAAAGCGTAACGGCACATTCGATCCAACGATTAGCCAACAGATTTACCATCATAAAGGAGTGAAATATTCGCAATCGATCGCAATCCGCCTGACTGTCGACCAAAAATAAATCAACTATCAACGATCAAATTTTTCAACGATAATCGTTACTCGCAATTAATGATTACGTTTATTTACTTATTAATAATTTCGAATTATTAATTATTTAAATTTCAAACTGTTAATAAATAATTATCAAGTTCCTAGTTTAACCTTTTGCGCTGGAATGACGTGCCACGCACGTCGAGAATATTTGGCCAAAAAAATTGCAATATTTTCTCAGTTTAGTACATTGAAATATTGAAATATTTAATTTAGTATATTGAAGTGTATTGAAATATTTAATAAAATATTTAATCTAGTAAATATTGATATTTAATAAATATTCAATTAATTAAATTAATATCACAAATAATAATAATTAATTAATTGACATTATTATTTATATTTAATAGATATTTAATTTAGTATATTGAGGTATAATTGAAATATAACCCAGGCAAAACAAATAATAAATTTATTACTTCTTAGTAATTTCTATCCAGTGATATACCGATGAATTCAACAAAGAAGACGAATTATTGTACACGGTTTGGTCACTCGTTATGGTCCGCGAACCCCAGTTACTAGCGCAAGAGATTAATCGTTGGCTGCGATGAACGACCTAACTTAATTTATAAAATATCTATAAAATGCAGTATGCATAACTTATAAAACACAGTTTATGTATAGTAAATATTGAAAATATTTTTACGTACAGTGATTCAGATTATACATTAGATTAGATATTCGAACACTGAATATTGAAACTGTTGCAATTTCGTCAAGTGAAATCGCACAATAATAAACTTGGGCTCGTTTTAAAGTTCCAAGCCTCTACTTTCAAAATGCTTCGTTCATTTTATTTCAAGATGTCTTCACATCACATAGCAGGTAAGAAAGTGAAGATACTTTACTTCTCGAAAATGCAATGAATTGTCACTGTGTGTAGAAACATTGAAAAATTTTTTTCATGACTGAATCTATAGTAAATTTGAAGATTGAAATTTCTCTATTAACTTAATGTACGATTTTTTTTTTTTTCGCCAATATTATTACGAGTTCTTGAATTTTGCTACGAACATTTATCGTGGTACTATTTATTAAATAGTATTCAATATTTGCCACAATAATTATTTAATATTGAGGACAAATTATCGTTGCTGCTGTCGAATGATTTTTATTTTATAAATTCTACTCAAAATGAAAGTTCCGTTTTCAAAAATTTTTTTCATTTATTCTTATTAGAACTTGGAATGTAAGAACGTTTTTCCTTTTTTTTGAAAAGCTCCACAGTCTATGTTTTAAATGGTATCTAAATTTATATATAAAATTAATTATTTATAAATTTATGTCTTAAATTAAGAACTTTTTGAATGTTTGATTCGTATTGAAGTATTATACAAATAATCTTATAAATATATAAGTGTTAAGGCATTGTGCGTATATCATTTTCTAATTAGTCCAATTAGTCTATTTATAGTATAAGGTTAGGTTAAAGTCTGGCATGCAATACTAGTATGTAAAGGAAAAGAAATAAGAGAACACTTGACAATTAAGGGAATTAAAAGGGAAAACAAAATGTAAAGAATAATATAAGTACTGAGGTCTATTTCTAGGCCAAAAGGCTGAAATAAAGATTCAGTCATTCATTATACAAATAATCTTATAAACAATAATAAAATAATTGGTTTATTTATTAGAGATTCAAGGAAGATAATGTATAAATACTAATCAATAAATACTGCCAAATTGATATTATTTAAATATTGCCAATATTTACCAATAATTGTTTCACTAAAATCGCTGTAAACTGTTTAATACTCAGACTAATAAGATAAACTGACTGCCAGCTGTTGTAGTTGTTATTCCAGAAATTATATTGCATTTAATCAAAGACAATTGACGGTATGGAAACGTTTTTATTAAGAAATATTGCGTCACTCGATATCTGACATGTTGCTCATTAATACGTATTGTTCCACCTGCTGCACATGTGGTGAAAAAAGATGATGTCATTTCAACGTGCAAACGAAAATGATATCACTGTATTATTCATTATACATTTACATTCTAGCTTGAGTGGATGAATCAAACAGTTGCGTGTTTCTTTATTCCAGCGAAAACAGATAAACAATCGTCCGTGTTAATCAAATCTTGCAATATGGTGTAATTCAACGTGATTATACGTATAATTCTTACTAAAATCATGCTCGAAAGAATGTAAAAATGCAAGGAAATAACTATGAGTCGATCAATTGTGAGTTTACGATTTAGAAAGAAAATTGAACTTTTCACATTTGTTTGGTGTTACATATCAAAACACATTGCAGTGTACATATATCTGAAATATATTTATGTTTGATGGATAGATAGGTAAACTTTATGTGAAGTCAACTGAAGAAACGTAATGTGTTTCCTTCAATTGTTCTTTTTTTTTTATACAAATATATTAAATTAATTATTTACTTTAAATATATTGAATTAAATTGATAATTAAATTTAACTAATAAGTTAAATTACTAAATATGTTAATTATGTGTACTGAATTGATTACTAAATGCGATTAATTGTTAAATTAAATTAGTTATAGATCGTCGATTATCCGACTCTCCATTATCTAAACGATAAATTATCCGAATGCAGAATAACTATATATTTAGAATGTTTATACTTTGGAACTTGTATCATTCCCACTTTGAATTGCAGTGACTTGTCTGAGTTTACATACAAATTTCATTAATGTCACGAATATCAAAAGAAAAAGAGTGCTGCTACAATTAAAAGTTAAATTGAATATTATTGAATATTTAAACAAGGCTGAAAAGGCTGCGTTCATTTTCTGAGTTTCTAATTAGCAAACTAATTAAAAATAACGAATCGAAAATTATTCACAAATGATGAATTAAATTAAATGGGGCTGTGTGCAAATAGATTTTTGGTAAACGAAGCATTGATATACTAGGTTCATTAATTTAAGAAAAAGCTGTTGAATTAAATATAAAACTAGATGATAATAAAAGTTCAAATTTTTATTAGATATTTTGACAAATGTAGAACAGAGTATTTTGTAAAATGAAAAGTGCATAAATGAAAGCTTGTATAGCATTGTACTACAAAGCTTCTTTTTTTTTCCATCAATGGTTCCCTGGAAAAGTTTTACCTTCGTGATGAGTAGAATACAATGAAAAAAAAAAAAAAAATTGACCTTGAAATTCAAGGCAGATTCTATACATGTATTATTTCCATCAAACTGAAGATGCGAAATTTATCTATGACAGTCACAGATGAACTTTTCTTTCTATCCTGACGAATTTCTTCATTCAGCTTGCCCCATCATGAAAATTAGCTCCCACTCTCTTCATTCTGTCTTGCCGCAGCCATCTGATGAAAGAGTGGGGCTCATGCGCGGCGAGGAAATTTCAATGTAGTGGGGAGATCGATGCAGTGGAGGGGATAGCGCTAGCGGTCAGGGGCCGCCAGTTAGCCGGCTCTGGTTTATAGACTAATGGGAAATACGTGACAAGACTGTTATTAATAGAAAATACTATATTTTATACAGGGTGTCCCGGGCTTTTCCAGCTAAACTGCGAGAGCTTATTCTAGAGGGCAAAAGAAGAACAAAATGTTATATGAATAATATGTTGATGAATTAACACTTTGTTAAGGAGATATAAACAAACAATGATAAATAGCTACTCACTATTTTTAAAGTCTCATTTCAAAATGGTGTCTTTCTGCTCGGATATAAACTTGACATCCATAAAAAATTTATTGCTCTATGCAGTGTCTCAGTATCTTGTTGCATTTCAACAACTGTATTTTTAATTCAGTTCGGTCGAGTAAACCTTTTGTTTCAAAGTATAAAGTCGAGCGGTTATAGGATCGACTTTTACCTATTTATCAACACTCGTTTCCAATTATGAAACAGGCAAAGAAAAGTAATGACTGAAATACTGAAACTTACAATTGGTAAAATACTAAGTATCTATTTTTGATTACATCTCTGTGACAAAGCGTTAATTCGCAAACTTCGTATAACATTTTTTTCTTCTTTTGACCCCTAGAATAAGCTCTCGCAGTTTGACAGGAAAAACCTAATCAGGGACACTCTATATATATGTCTTGTCTATGATACCAAGTACAATCTATACAATTGCAAATACGACAAATGCATTTGACAAATCTTCAAACTCGAATTTTTCAACAACGAAACCTCGGATTCAAAACATTTATTCTCTCTTTTCGACTTGTATTTGTACGTGGAATGGAAAACTACAAAATCCTTCAACAAGAAATGTCTATTTCAGTTTTTATTTTAAAAATATATTACATCGTCGTGACATGTGATAAAACATTGTAGTGCATAGAAGTATATTATTTAAACAACGAAAATACTTTTGACCAGCCTTTCGATTCAAAATGTCTCACAGTGTGCGTTCACGATTCGCGAGGCTTCTTCGATCGCCGAATATTCACATACGCGCACATCATCCATCCCCATTCACACTTGCACAACAACATACATATTTCAAGCTTGTTTTTAACATAATATTATTATAATATTAATATAATATTAATATAATATTAATATAATATTATTTTTACTATAATAAAATTTATAAATTATTAACTTGTAATATAAGTTTGATCGCTATTGCTGGCACTTTAATTTATCATTATTAATTTTAACTCTCCTATTTAGTTTTCATTAAATTATATAGAATTTTTTATTAATTTTATTATATATATATTTAATATAAATAAATTATATACAAAATATTAAGTTTAATTAATAATTCATAATTATATTTTAAATCTATTAATTTGTTATAATTACCATTTTTTAGTTATTACAATTATTTATTACTTTGAGAATTAGAATTAGGCAATGAACAATGT